CGTGGCTACAATATATTTGAAAGTTCAAATATAATCCAGAACATAGGGCCGAACCACTATTAATAAAATAAACTCGTGTTTAGTCGTAATTGGGACATCTGTTGGTACACTGAACCATTGTGGGGAAATCGCTGTAAGTATTGTGTAATATAATCACAGTGCAAAATGGTTGGTTGGTTGGTTTGTTGTTTAACAAACCATCTGCACTCTGCAATATTCCAGCTATATGACGGCGGTCTGTAAATAATCGAGTCTGGACCAGACAATCCAGTGATTGATATCATGAGCAAAATGGTAATGAAATCATACCGCGTACACTAAATCACCATTTCCAGATACGTGAAGGTCGCCAAGGACGCTAATTAACACCTTGACAATATGGCTTTGCATAGTATATGTGCAGCGAACAACTGACAGTGAATTCGATAACAGTTTTCAACCCCTTGTCATCTATATCATGAGAACATTTTGTGATTTTCTTCAATGCAAGCATTTGTTTGCCGAAGATACGTGTCTAGGTGGGACATCCATTGTGAAGAATCCAGGTAGAAGAGACAGCAGTAGCTCAACACATGGGTATTACGTGATGGGTGACACCGGGGTTAGACATCCTGTCACATGTGAAATAATTCCGTTCTACTTCTTGATGTTTGTGGTACGATTGTTATATAGTTGTGATAAATATGGGGTTACGGTCGTTTCCTATGACATTGTCTCAGCATCTATACTGTTTTATGGAACGGTAGGGTTTTCTTAGTAATGTTACTAAGTAAGCAATGGATTCACATACACTGGTCACTTGGGTTGCTTCTTGACCTAGGTCAGACCTGATTGACCTCTTTCTGACTGCCAGGTGATGTGGCAGCAGTTTGATTCTTCAGTAAAATAGTAAAGATACATTGTTGACAACTTTGACTTCGAGCTCCGTTACAGTTTGAATAAAGTTTATTTAAATATAGATGACTTTCAAATTCGGCATTCTCAGCTGTGTAGTTACAAACTGAACTAAAAATGTACCCTTATTTTGGCTGCACCGTTGTACACTGTGAATACGATGACATGAATCACCTCTTCGTCTTCAGAATCTCTACAGAACGATAAATGGCACAAGGTATTTTATGTGACATTATTTTATATTTCACGGCGTGATACAGAAAACCCTGTATTGGATACCAGGCAAAGCAGGTGCCCTTTATCCTTTGCTTGTTGTGGGACGCCGTTCCCGACGCCATGGTAGAGTTCTTATGATGTGAGCTCAGAATGTTAGGATATCATATGCAGCAAGGAACAGTGTAGGGATTTATACTGTGCAGCTTTCCACCGGACGTTTATTAGTTTAAGTGAGAAAAAAATGTAAAATACTTCTCGTGAACCATATTATAATTATTCTGACTAAATATATGATCAAATCTTTTACAATACAGCATCCCTGTGAACCTTAAGACATTGTGACAACACATACACACTAAACACGTGTATTCTTATCCAAGTGTGTGAAATAAAGGTATTAACCATGATACTCCATTTCTTTATCATGTAAAATTTAAATATATCTGGAAAAAACAAAAGACCAACCTTGAAAATTTATCTTCGACTGAAACACGGACAATTTATGAAGAATATGTCGTGGCTTGGCCGCTGGAACAAAACAGTGATTGATATTATGTTTTGGTTGTTTATTGTTTAACGCCGCACTCAGCGACATTCCAGCTATATGACGGCCGTCTGTAAACAATCGTGTCTGGACCAAACAATCCAGTTAATGACATCATGACCACCGAGCCAGATCACCCGCTGCCGATATACATCTATTACGACAAGCATAGTCGCCTTTTACGGCAAGCATGGGTTGCTGAAGACCTATTCTAACCCGGATCTTCACGGACAGGTTGATATTATGAACAACATCTCTCGCCATCAACGTAAGATGACATGCAACTAAAAAGTTATTGGAGGTTGATTCTAGTCTGAAATTCTCACGGGGTCTTCAAGTTATGGGGCTTCACAATTCATATTGGGAATTGAAACTTTCAAGATATAAATTTACTGAAATAATTCAAGATCAACCTTCTCGTAAAAACGATTTGTGGGATCTGTTCATAAGGTGCCGTGATTTATTGCTGATGAACTTCCTGTTTTGGGATAAAAGAATTATTGTATTTTGGCCTCAATAGTCCACTGAAACATGAAACTATACCGTCATACCAGATACTCCTGTCGCATAAATGTAAACAAACCTTCGTCACCTATGGATCTGTGGTGAATTGTTTTTTGTGAATTAAAAAACCCACCTTTTTGAAATGTCTATGACAGTGATCATTTTGAAGATTAGAATATGAAACAAATCCGTTTCAACACTTGCATTATCATTTGCCGACCAGTGATGTGATGTGTATTCCTCATATTTCATCTATCCGTGAAGTTACGGTTGATAGTTATTCTAACCTTAAAAGGTGGAACATATGTTAGTGTATCCTGTGTTTGCATTTTACAACCTTTCCTCTCGTTCCATCAAAGTGGAGATAATCTGGTGCAATCAAAGTTGTTGCAGATGTACCAGTATGCCAACTTGGGTGCTTGATGGCGTTACCCATCAACATCGCCTTTATCCTCATCACAACCAAATGTTAACAAATTCTGTCAGTTAATGATATATATGTGGTTGTACAGAAACTATGATAAATGTATATCTATGTTTATTTATTGGAGGATTGACTATGGATTTGTTTCTCGGTTCAGTGAGGTATGAATTGAAAAACCGATGTGCTTATAATTAAATTCGACAACGAAAACATGTGTTATCTACAATGGTTCAACCGAAAACAGTTGTATATATCACAGCAGACAAAAATGACGCGATTGATAAACATTCAAGGTGTAGGCATACATACTGTGGCCCGGCATGAATCTGGTAATTGTTTAATTTATGTACATAACTTGACACGCCTACAAACTCAGTAGCCAAACAAAGTTTATTGGACCTGTCAATCAAGCCAAAAGACGGGACTGCAACTGTAAGACTGTAACGAACCGGAACAAATATGTCCTGGTTTCAAATGACATGTTCAGATACCGCCATATTCAAAACAATAGTTCCCTGAGAAGGGGATCACTCGAAAAAAGCAGGCGAGCGAGCCTGCACGTTTGCTGTTTCATTCATTGTCGGCCTTCAGTCTTAAAGGGTAGTTAGTACAATAAATATGCATGAACTGCGGGAAAAGTCCTGTGCATGATGATACACGTGAGCAGAAAGGGAATTCTCTCGACTGTAATATTTGAATTCCCCTACATTCCGTAGTGATATAATTAGTCCGCTACGGTGGGCCTGGCTTATTTCGGAAAATGAATGCAATAACACGTGACCAATTCAGCTAATCCGAATGCTGGAATAACAATATACAAACGAAAATTTAATTATCATGCTATGAAACTAATAAACTATAACATTTTTAACACAACCAAGACTATGTACTGTAAACCTTTAGGCTCATCAGTATCACGAATAAAGATTGATTGATTAGTAGTGAACAACGGAGAGGTGATGCTGACCATCGATAATCGACTGTAAACTTCTCCGCCCTTTTTCCTAATTTAGGCAAGAAAACTTTCTAATGAAGTCGATGATAGTCGAGTAAAGCGAGTAGCCTCCCTTAGATTAACAGTGATCGTCTGGAGTCTCGTCGCTGACTTAATCAAGGTTCTGGTGTTACAGCTATCTCTGTTATCCAGAATGTCAACAAGATCTTCTTCTGATAAAACGTCAAACCGTGAAATGCAACCGGAAGCATTTTTTTTCTAGTAGACGAGAGTCAACATTCATCACGTGGAAGGTCAATACTGATTATGTGACGGATCAATATTCGAGGTCACTGTCACTCACATGATTTGGGAGTCCAGATCGAAATGTATTGTTTCTTCACTGGTCACGCATTAAGCACTGGAATTGGAAGATTCTGAATAGAAGTGTTACAAATTTCAATGTAGCCCCCCAAATCATGTGACCTACATTGACCTCGAATATTGATTGATATTGATCTGTATTGACCTGTCAAGTGATGAATATTGAGTTCCTAGTTATGGTTTTCTGCCGCTTTTAGCAATATTCCAGCAATATCACGGCGGGTGACACCTGAAATTGGCTTCACACATGTGAATCAAACCTCGGTCTTCGGCGTGACGAGCTTCAACCACTAGGCTACCCCACCGCCCCTGATGAATACTGATTCGCCTGCCACAAAATAAGATGGCGTCTGGTATGCTTACATATTACGGTTGGCAACTACATTACTGATATGAAGCAGAGGACGGTTTTATAGCTTCATGAACTTTAAAAATAATTTTTTGTATAACAAAACGAATGTTTTCTTTTGACGAGGTCAATACGCGGAAACAAGGGCCCTCGGACCTGACCCCCTCGCATAGTGCCTCGTCGAGAGTAATTATTTGTCTAATAATGCATCTTGACTGAGCTCTTTTATAGAATGAATAAATCATGATCATTTGATGATAGTTGACCTTCAGTTTCCGAAATCCCGGCTGTGTAATTGAACTAATGACTTTTTTATTTTGGCTGCACCTTTGTGACATGAAGCAATTATTATTCCTCAGAAAAACTAGTAACACAATATATCAGATGTGATAATTAAATAATAATTAACATCTCACATCGTGATACAGAACATCCCAGAGCATACCAGCAAAATAGATGTCCTGTATCCTAGGCCTGTTGTATGACTCGACACAATAATAAAGGATGGTTTGTAATGTGTGACCTGATTGATTGTATGTCATTGTTCCTGACGCCGTTGTAGAGTTCTTATGATGTCAGCTTAACAGGATGTTAGGATGTCATATGTAGCAAAGAAAAGTGTAGGAAATTATACCGCACAGCTTTGCAACCGGACGTTCTTTACGTTTTAGAGAGTAAAAAGTGCTAAAGTACTTCTATTTTGTATCGTGAACCATATTATGTTAATTTTAACAGCATACACAATACATTGTGACAATACATGAACACATTTATTCTTTTCCAAGTGTGAAATACAGGCAGTAAACCATAACAAGCAGTCCAATTTACATGTCACGTGTAGGGCATGCATCTGGACAACAATACTGGAACAGGGAAAGATTATTAAGTATATCAATATCTGTGTACATACGCCAAAGCAGTCTGAGAACAGGATACATAGAAGCAATCTGCTATAAACTATATATTGATGATGATATTGCATGCTGTTTTTCATTTTCTACTTGTCTATATTGACTTTCGCTTTATAGTTGTTTGTGTGTCTGTTGATTAACGCCGAAAACAACAATAATCAAGCCATATGACGGCGAACTGTAATGAATCGAATATTGAACAGAAAAAGCAGTGAGTGATATCATGAGCAACAACCCACGCCATCGGGACACGCAGACATGCAACCAACCACGTCACCGAGCCTGACCATTCGGTCAACTTATTCGCCGCGTAAGACAAGTACAGAATATTGGAAACAAATTCTTCCCTGAAATTCTCACCGGGTCTAAAAGTTATGATACGAGTGTGTGTAGACCTTCTTTTTCATTTGTCACGACAAAGACAATTACGGTTAACATAATGTCTATACGTAAACCTTCGAAAACACTGTAAAAATAATCATTAAAAAAGTTTTCAAACTAAACATCATTCCCATCTTTTTCTTCACACCTTTGTGATAAGAATACTGATTACATACACGATTATCAGTGACGTTGACTTTAAAAATGCACATCAAGACCAACATCAACTATTGACTGGAGCTATTGGTTGTCTGTTTTGAGGGTGATGATTCTCCTCCACGTCTGTGGTATCAGCCATTGCAAGCAAAGAAAGGCCTTGTTGCTTTTCTGTAAAAAAACAAATTGTACATATTTCAACAAAGTTAATGGTCGCCACTAGCTTTAATATTCATATATGATGTTTAAACTTTCGTAATAATATGAACGTGATTGATATACCTCGAATCGATATTTGGAAATCTATTGATAAGGTGTCCATGATTTATTCCGATGAAATTTCATTTTTGATGAAGAATTATCGTATGTGTGCCTCGACAGTCCATTGACACACGAAACTATACTTTCATACAATATGACTATCTCAAAGAATATAAACATACCTTCTTGGTTTGTGGACCTGTGTGTAATGGGTTTTCTGTGGATATAACATAGCCAATGTTAAAAAAAATAAATATATATGACAGGGATCATTTAGAAATATGTTTAATGTTTATTCTAAACATGAGTAGTGTAAATTGTTCCAAAGCTCATGCGTTTACACTGTTTCCTTCTTCCCTTCCTAGACCGCCTCCGTGGTCTAATGGTAGAGCGTCCGCCCGGAGAGCGGAAGGTCCGGGGTTCGATCCCCAGCCGCGTCATACCAAAAGACGTTAAAAGATGGTACTTGTTGTAACCCTGTCTGGCGCTCGGCATTAAGGGGCTAAAACAAGGACTGGTCGGCTCGGAGTCAGTATACTGTGTCTGAGTGGGGTATTCATGTTAAACTGCGGCATGGTATCTCTGTGTGCTAGCACTATAAATCGGCATAAGTCCGGACTAGTACAAGCAGCCACACACACACACACATACACGTGCATGTACGTCGCTATATAAGTGCAATAATCTTGGACGCGACATTAAACCCCATTTCACCTCACCTCACCTCTTTTCTTCCTTTTCATTAACGTGGAGAAAATCTGGTGCAATCAAAGTGTTGCATATGTACATGTATGTCAACTTGGTGCTGGAGGTAATGAGGTTCCGATGTCCCCTTCAATGTACCTGATTACAACGAGTTTGCGAGCGAAATATCTAAACTACCACAGCACAAATGTTTACACATTCTGTCAACTAATGTGATTGTACAGTAACTATGCGGATTGTTTGTTGTTTGGCCTCATCAGTATCATGAATATAGATTGATTGATTAGTAGTTAACAACAGAGAGGTGATGCCTCCCTTTTTCCTGAACTACGATATTGTTACCTGCCAAACTTGATCCCGTCCTCAATGGTCTCCGGAAGGTCTCTGTTGAGTGTTTCCGGCAGGAGTAAGGACAAAAGACCTGCCAGGACGGCCAGACCGCCAAACATTAAAAGTGGCAGGGCGCGGCCAAAGTCCCCGCCAACCAACTTGCCCTGTTAATTGAGTAATTGAGAATGGTTAAACAGTGTCCATGTAACCAAATTAAATGAGTACCAGAATTATTACAGCAATTATGACGGTATGACAATCGAATATAACCCTTTCACTTCAAACAAAATGTAGATTCAGTTCATGTGGTCAAGAGTGATCAAAAGTATATTTTTTATGCAAATATGCTACACGTCAAACAAATGGGCTTGAATTCAAATGGTTGAATAAACTTGGACATAGAAACTACAGCTAGAGTGACGAAATTTTATTTTTGGGTTGAATACTCGCTCACCCGCTTAAATTATAACTATGTTCTCCAGTTTAGTAACTCAAACATGAGTCACACTTCGTACGTTTGGACATGGATGGCACGGATTATCTGCTTGCAATACGTACCCAGTCTGCTATATACGGTGCTATCATGCCTCCTACCCGGGCAAAGGAGGAACTGGCGCCGGTGGCGGAGTGGCGGATGACAGTGGGGAACAGCTCTGAGGAGAAGATGTAGATGATTGCAAAGCCTGCTGTTGCCCCAAGCTTCCCTATCATAGCCAGCAGCACAGTGACCCACTGTAAAGCTACAATGCGAAACGCTTTGTAAATACTTTCAATACATTCAGTAAGTTGTAAACGACAACAGTATCATGACATGGACGTTTGGTGAGAAATAAAAGTTCAAGCTTCAAACTTCAAGCATGGCAAAAACACCTAGAATTTGACACTTGATATACTCATCGCTTGACAGGCTTCGCGTTCAATGGCAAAGATGCGCCATTGAGGCGCTTTGAAAGGGAATTAGTGTACCGGTTTTACATAGAGAGAGGTAAATCCATGTCTACATACAATGATCAGCATATAGGATGGTGAAGATGGTGAGAATGCAGGACACTCCTCCTACTAACATAGATGCACAGTGCATGACCTTTCTCCCCAGTTTGTTGAGCAGTCCCAATACAAAAGCACAGGCCGGTAATTCCACCAGGCCTACCAGCAGGAAGTTGAGGTGGAGGCTGCCTGCCCCAAGGTTGTCAGAGTTGAGGGACAGGCCGTAGTACACCATGCTGGCCACCATCCTTGATGCAAGTTTCAAAGATGTAGTATATGGGTTTGTTTGTTGGTTGGTTTGTTGTTTTACGCCGCACTCAGCAATATTCCAGCTATATGACGGCGGTCTGTAAATAATCGAGTCTGGACCAGACAATCCAGCGATTGACATCATGAACATCGATCCACGCAATTGGGATCGATGATATGCATCAACCAAGTCAGCGAGCCTGACCACCCGATCCCGTTAGTCGCCTTTTACGACAAGCATGGTCGCCTCTTACGGCAAGCATGGGTTGCTAAAGGCCTATTCTACCCCGGATCTTCACGGGTCTGTCACGGGTCTGTAGTATATGGGATCCTTATTTCCTTGAGAGTGTACAACACACTCTTGGTTATCGCAGTTTCACCCATTTGCATATTAACATAACCGTTAAACTACATATGCTCCTTGATATTTCCCTTAAGTTGATAAAGAGAAGAATCGATAAACTAAATGACAATAGACACGTTCAGATGACATGAACATGCGCGATGCATGACATAATGATGGCATTAAAAATTGTTATTTGTAAATATAATTTCTATCATTACAATGAGAAATAAAATGGCCGAATACCACATTACCAGTTAAAAAATATAATGAGAGTTCGTGTACACATGACTGGAGTGGTGAAGAGATGAAAGAAGCTGCCCTTGGGTTTGTTGTCATCATGTGTTTCAGCATCTGTCTTCTCTTGCTGTTCAAACAGGTTTTCAGGTAACTTGACTTTGTTCACGTCTGCTGCGCGACGAATGATCACTTCCGCTTCCTGATACCGGAACTCGTTCATCAGCCATCTTGGAGATTCTGGAATGAGCCTGTAAAGAAGATCAAATATTCTTCTTAAGATGAATCAAATACCTGTCATAACCCAACCACTAAAACATTTCACATATGCATTGTTTGTTTGTTTGGGTGTTTGTTTGGTTTAACACCGCACTCAACAATATTCCAGCTATACGACGGCAGTCTGTAAATAAACGAGTCTGGTCCAGACAATACAGTGATTGACAACATGACCATCGATCCACGCAATTGAGATCGTTGGCATGCATCAACTAAGTCAGCGAGCCTGACCACCCGATCCCGTTAGTCGCCTCTAACGTGTAAGCATAGTCGCCTTTTACGGCAAGCATGGGTTGCTGAAGACCTATTCTACCCCGGATCTTCACGGGTCTTTCACCTATGCCATTGCAAACTTTCCTTCAACAAATGAAAAGAAATTATTGGGGTGCTTTACAGTATAACATAAGGCCAATTATCTCAATTCAGTTATTAGCTTAAGGATATTTATCTGACGGTGTTTTTGCAGAAGGTGTATTATCTTTTATGGTTTACATTCAGGTTAGAACATTTTGAAAGTTCAGCTCTTGGAGCTATAAATAAATAGCTAACACACTATTTAACACTGACCACCAGTAAATGAGGAAGAAGGCGATAGGGATGGACATGGCTAGCTCCAGCGTATGCCAGTCTCGGATGAAGTAGGCAACTCCGGACAACATCGTCATGCCAAGTGCGAAGAACACCTCGATAATTATCCCCGTCCATACACGCTTAGAGGGACCTACTATCTCCATACCTATTAATATATTAGAGTAAAATTCATTTTGGTATTTCAAAGTTACTCGTTTCTCAGAAAACAAATACCCATGCGACTTTGTTGTTCCACATTATTACTGCATGTTCTAATTACAAATGCCGACAACATTGGTGAAGTATTTTATACTGTTTGAACTGCAACGGTACTTTTATCTCGAATTGTCTGTATCATATATAACACAACCATGCATTTGGACAACTAGCTGGTGGTACAGCTGGTTGTAGGGCTTGTGAGTGTTGAAGGCCACACCAGCAATTTTGCAATTATTGGCGAGGGTAAAAGATAGGGATGCAGTGATGGTACTGATTGTGGTAGAGTTGATTAAAGGTAGTATAGTGGATAGTGATGATCACGATCCATGCTTAGAATCCTGCCAGATCACTCAGATCACAACAGACAGACCTCCTGATCGTATTGAAGACAAAAACTTCCTCCTGTCAGGCAAATGGAGCAAGCTGCCTCGGGGCATAAAGTCTTCTCTGCTACAATCTGTTACATTGCAGCTGAAGACAAGCAAACTGACAGCGTCCCGAGCCTGCATGTACGCTTAGAACATATTTATGAGCTATATAAATGGACTAGTATGGTATTATTATTATTAGTAGTAGTACCAGTGCTTTTTTCAACCCTTAATGTCGAGCGCCAGACAGGGTAATAAGTACCATCTTTAAACGTCTTTCGGTATAACGCGGCCGGGGATTGAACCTTCCGCTCCCCTGCCAGACGCTCTACCATCAGCCAATGGAGGCTGTCCGAAGTGGCAATGAATGTTTCAGGCGGATGAAGTTGAAGTGAAAGATCAAGAGAAAATGGTAGACGGGGTTGTAGTTGTAAAGGTTGGAGTAGGTGTATTAACTGTGGTAGTCGTAGTGGATTTCGTACGAGTAGATGTAGGCAAGGGACTTAACTGATCATAGACCAGTTTCCGCTCTAAGTAGGTTGGAATTCCTTGCCTCGATCGTAGCATGGCTATTAGTTATGGCCCTTCTGTGTCCCCCAGATTTAACATTTCATATCATTTACACTTGCCTCAAACAAAATGGTGGCATCAAGACGATCTGAATCAGAATCTAAATTATAATAAAACGAGTCTTACCTCGCAAGTACATCAAATCACTTGGGTGAGTGAGTTGTATATAACGCCTCTTTTGTACCCATATGGAGAATCGAAAACGGGTATTGGGCGTGACTAGTGAACGCTTTTACCACTAGGCTAATCCATCGCACTTGAGCACGTTAATTAAAAAAATGAAAAGATTTTGAAAAAACCTGTCGACACCCAGTTAACGGTACACGTCCTTTAGCAAATCTTGCAATCGAAAGAAATCTGCACGGCAGTCGCCATGTTGTTTATGAACAGGATATCGCTATGCCATTTTAATTGAACTATCCACAGACTCGTTAGGCAAGCCAAGATATCACTTAGTTTGATGGGTGGAGCCTAGTTTGGCAAGGGTGGAAACTGGACTTCAGTTAACAACCTTGTCTCAGGAATATGTAGTATTGCAGACGTTGCGTGTATTGGACGCTGGCAGCTTTGGTAACAGTACACGCCATTCAAGATTCTAGCGTATATATGACCGTATTTTGGGTAATTTGATTATCATGTACCCATTACGAAACAAGTGGTATAGATTCCGGTTGCTGAGGCACCGTTGATAAAGCGTAGGATGACGAACATGACGAAGTTGCTTGACCAGTTGAGGATGATTCCCCCAGCGATGAGGGACACAATTCCCAGATAAAGAGCCTTCTTCCGCCCGATCCTTGCAAAACAAACGGCAAAGAAATGTACAATGTCTATGCACCGGAATTAGGTGAATTACTCACGCGAGTACCGAAGCTAAGCCTGTTATAGTTGGGCGTTATTCAGGAGATCTGGTATACTTTGAACAAAACGTTAAGATCGTTTGGCAATGAAGAAGCCCATGATTATCATGATCGAAACCAAAATACTGAACAAAAGAAGTCAAATGTTTAGAAAATAACCATGTACTGACAACTTTTCAAATGCGAGAGTCTTCGGGGTTTTAGGGAAGCGTATCCTGCCCCACCAGAATGGGGACTAGCATCTTATACAATATTTAAACAGTCAAAACGTATTTTTTCAAGAATTTTCGGATACAATTTATTTTTTTCGATAAATTGCCAGAGCTTTTGTGCAAGTTATAATGTTTACTTCTTTGTTAAACATGTTTATTATTTGACTAAAGATTATATGGACTCACTTGTCGCCCAGGGCTCCAGAAGCAAATGCCCCAAAGAAGCACCCACCCATGAAGATCATCTTTGAGTGAGTTGCGAGTATGGCGTCGTCACACACAAAACTAAACTGAATGAAACAGTACGATCTGTTTACATGGTGTCATTAGGCCGTTCCAGAAGACCTGCATTAAAACAAAACCAGTGCCCCATCACCAGGAATGTGGTTTGTCATAATATTTTCCGTGGGGCCTTGGCAAAGAACTAAATGAAACAGTACGATCTGTCAACATTGTATCATTAACCCGTTCCAGGGGAGTTAAAAAACCATACACAGCACCAGGAATGTGGTTTATCATTATATTTCCCGATAGCCTTGGCAAACAAACCATACGTGCGCTTCAAGTTGAAGTTGTTTAACAGTGTTAAACGTTTTGTTTTTGAGATACGTTTTTAAGTATTGTATAAAGTGATCTCAACGTGTGACTTAGAAAATGGTTTACCTCCATTGAGGCAGTGTACTCGAACACTGACTTGTCATACACCCACTTCTTACAGCCGACCACTGTACGGTTGGCGCCCACAGTGGTGATGTTATCAATGTCACTGTAGATGTGACAACGGTCAAGCTGCAGTTTGCCGTCTCTTTTGACGTAGGGGATGGTAGCGTTGATAAGATGGGCGTGGTTGACAGACTGTACATCGTAGGTGTCGTTGATGTAGCCGGGGATGGCGCACCTGTAGGATAATAGAAAACCTGTAGGACTTCAATTTCCCGTGAAGATCCGGGGTAAAATAGGTCTTCAGGTTACCGGGCATGGCACACCTGTAGGACAACGGACAGAAGATCACCAAGTATTGCGTTAAACTTTAATCACTGCTCAGTGTCACTTAACATGGACACACTTTGGAGATAAATTGTCATTCAAGTCAATGTTATTAGGTTATATAAGCCAAAGTTAGAACACTGCACTGGTCATCGCGGTTCGATGTGACCACACCGATCATGCAGGAAACAAACAAATAGTGGTATTCATGACTAACTGCATACTGTATACTAACTGAAAACTGAGGAAGGATTTAACACAACGTCGCCGTTGTTTCAACAACTTAAATGATCATACCTGCTGTTGTTGAAACCTGCTTCTTTGGATTCTTGCCGTTGTGAATACAAGATTTCAGTTTTTCAAATGGGCCTGTTATGCACATTTTGTCCTGATATAAGTACATGTAAGTCATAATGGGGTATTTGAGGCAATTGCATAATAATTCCTGTTAACACTTCAAATTAAATGTTAACACATCACAATTTAACAAATGATACATAATTATAGGGAAGATCACCTAGCATGTATGGAGTCATCTTCCCGGGGCAAGCGTGTACACTAGCCTATATCAAAACCTAGTATCTACCCTTGCACATCAAGGCCACTTTTCTCGGCTCAACCCTGGCGCCACCTCGCGTAGATCACGAGTTGTGCCCCTTGTAATGAAAACGCGATATCCACTTAGATAGCTGTTCTTATCTCGTAGAGCTTCACAAAGATAGGCGACGACCTAGTCGATCAGATAACGAAAACATTCGCGAATTCATCCCGGGCACAAAAACCTAGGCAATCGTTGGGGGTTTAAAAGAAGAAAAAGACATATTCGTGTCAACCAGTCGTGGATGCCTATTTTGTCAAACGTTCTCAAACATATTTAGCACAGGAAAGTGGGCTTGATGTGGCAAGGGTGGAAACAAGACTTTGATAAAAAGGCTAGTGGACGCTCTTGCCTCTGGAAGACGGTATTTTGTATGTTATATTGGTTATCGAAGCTATGATTGGATATACCTGATTCACGTTCAGTTACAGATAGGCAAAGTGCATTAACCAACATTCAGTAAATGATGTAGTGTAATCTTGATTACAACAGTTTCTGCAACCACAAATGCGTTCTCAATGCAAGGAGTGACAAAAGATATATTACAGCCTTGGACATGTGTATGGACTTGGACAGATATCCTTCAACTACAGCCAATAAAATGCTATTATGTAACAGTTTAACATTCCGGGTGTAAAATGTTGATTCCGAATTTGAATAACTACTCAAGTTGATTAAATAAAGTCAGTACACATTTAAGTATAACCTTTAAAGTTGCTAGAATATTTCATATGCATTACTCAACCATATTCAATGTATGATCATTAAAGTAAACTTGCTCGGTTGACCAACTCACCTGTGTTCTGGAACGTTGAGGAGGAACACGCTGATCATCATCCTGCTACCAAAGGTGAGTCCAGGAAGACACAGGAGAAAGTACACCCATTTCTGATAGCGCCCAAACTCCCCCAGGTGCCGCAGAACATCGTCGAAGTTCAGTCTCATCTTTCAAGGGCTGATCGCGTCCTCGCCTTTTACTGCTTATGCTTTCCCGCACTAAAAATGACACCACAGGTACGACTAACGTCCAACCATGTGCAAGCTGTCTGTCCCCACTTGCATTTAATTAGTTAGGCTGCGAAGCACGCAGAGACATGTCTTGAATGTATTGAAGCATTTCCAGTATGGACTAGAAATACACTGTGTAGCGTGACGTCCAGGCTATATTTACGTGAATGGTCACAATCAAGGATTAATGTAGAGTATATATAACTTAATTAGAGTATAAATTATTTTATCAAAGTGGGTATTGATTTAACAAAGTTCACATATGATCGACATGGCATATAAAATTATGTTTCAAATATTGCCGACATGGCAGATAATTTCACACCCAATCTCGACCTTCGAACTGACCACTTTGTCTTCATCTAGCTTAAAGAGACAAATAGCCAAGCTACAATTATACAACATCAGCCTTTACTTGTCCGTGAGTTTACCAGGGCTTAGATACAGACAATGTGAAGGTGTGCAATTGGTCTCTACACAAGCAATATTAAAAAGTGTAAATATACATTTCATGAAAACTAAATATATTTAATATATTCTACATAAAAAGAAAATATACATATATAATGGATTCTATTTACACAAACCCAAAATTTATGTTATATATTAATCAATCCTCGTTAGGATTCCTGGTTAGATTTTTGACCGCCGCCAAGATCCGGGTTAGAATTGGTCTTCAGCAATCTATGCTTGTCGTAAGAAGCAGGTCATGAGCTAATGGATTGGGTGGTCAGACGCGGTGACTTGGCTGATTGCGTGTCATTGTACATGGCTGTTCGTTATAACAATCACTTTATTGTCTGGTTCAGAGGCAATTATTTTCATCAAACAGTTAATAATTACCCTTATTACAAAAAACAATTTCTCTGTTTTCGAAAGGCACTTATTACAATGTTTAGACCGAAACTAGAACTAAGCCTGGACTCATGGAGCATAGTCGCTCCTTAATGTCTCTGTTATTTCGTTCTTCTCGTCCTCTACTTGAATGAAATTGTGTTACGACCGTCAGCCATTTAGCACAAAGGCCAACGTGGAATTTTGCTTGGATTTCGTAAACCAGCTGTCTGTAATTTGTGCGCCATCGGATGACAAAACTGTGGTATCACTATATTCAAGACCTAAATGGGAGTAATCATATACACTGAACAAATTACTGATTACTGCACCAAAATGACAATATTTGTCATAAAAATATTAGAAATAAAAAAAATGAAATTCATAAGTCACCACTGTCTTTCTTCACTGAAACATTGTAGATGGAAGCCACTGTATTTTTCTTATTGTGTTTTGATTTTTTTACAGAAAACAGTTTTATTTGAATCAAGTTGGGGGACAAGGGATACAAATATTCCCCACCCCCCTGTAAAAAAAGTTAACTGCGGCCTTGCATGCATCAAACAAGTCAGCGAGCCTGACCACCCGATCCCGTTAGTCGCCTTTTACGACAAACATAGTCGCCTCTTACGGCAAGCATGGGTTGCTAAATGCCTATTTCAGGAACACTGAAACATCGAAGGCAATCAGCCAGTATTTTTACGCCTGCTAAAATCAACCATCGTCTGGCATTTATTTCAGTAAATGCATTGATGTGTCACAGGATTTTCTGGTCATCAATCAGTTGATTGTCTGGTTTGTTTACAGGTGGCCGTCTCATGGCAGGAGTACTGCTGCGCAGTCAGGCAATAAATTCTTACGTTTTTATGCTAAATCTTTTAATGGCAGGTGCTTCGCGTACACCTGGCGTGTATTAGTTGTGGCGCACCTACCAGAACATTTTGCGTCTTTGATTATGTTGTCACCATTGTTGTTACAATACGATGTTTTGGCCGCAAAACCTGTTAATGCTATGATGGTTGTATGTCAGTGTTAGGTTGGATATGGGAGTATTATCCTTTGGAACAAACATTGATATGATATGAGACTTAATTTAGTGACTGATAATTATTTTTGTCATATACTCAACAAGAAATGTTCCCGTGACACCACTATTTTCTATTTAAGTGTATTTTTCAAATAAGTAAAGTTTGGTTTCAATATTGTAGTACATGTATGGAATCAGGTCACAAAGACGCAACTGCTACAAAAAAGCATGCATTCCATGCAAAAGTTGACTTTTATGCAAGCCCCATGCATTTTCACAACCTAAGAATGGGTATAAGAACATGTGCGTTAACGGGATTCCATATGCATTGTTTAGCATCGTGCTGACAACAACCACTCAGAAAAACAACAGAATTACGCAATTATTTAACATTACGAAATGCCACGCCTGTCCGAAAATGAGCGTCTGCGAGCCATTGGTATGCTTGAAGCAGGGTCGAGTCAACGGGATGTTGCAAGACAATTTAACGTCAATAGAAGCACCATTTGGTGTTTATGGCAACGTTGGCAACAGCCGAATGCAGTCAGAGACCATCCTCGGAGTGGCAGGCCACGCTTAACCAATAATCGACAAGACAAATGGATTCGAACAACATTGTCGCCAGAGGACCCGCCAGACATACCATTTTGACAGGAAACCACCGTTTACGCTGGACGGCCATGCAGTGGGGACAAGTTCTATTCACTGACGAGTCTCGTTTTCACCTCAGCCACAGCGATCGACGGATTCGAGTGTACCGACGTCGAGGTGAACGTTACGTCAATCATTGTGTCATGGAAGAAGCTCGGTTCGGGGGCGGCAGCGTTATGGTATGGGGTGGGATTACAGCAAGACAGAGGACCCGTTTGATAGTGGTAGAGGGAAATCTTAATGGAAAGCGCTACCGCGACGAGATCATCGGCCCTGTTGTTTTGCGTCGTCATGGCCCACCTTTCAACATGACAAAGCCCGGCCTCTTATTGCTCGACTTGTTGAGGATTCTCTTCAAGAAAATGACGTAAATGTCATCCCCTGGCCGGCTCGCTACCCTGATCTCTCAACAATGAGCAAATGAGGGATGAGATGGATCGGCGCCTTCGATGCCAACCACGAGTTCCACAGACACTCCAGGAACTTCGAAATATGCTCCAGCAGATATGGACAGATACCCCACAGGACTTTGTGCGACACGTAGTCCATTCCATGAGACGAAGATGTGTTGCTTGCATCGCAACCAGAGGTGGACACACACGCTATTGATTTGTAAATTGACATTTTGGTATGTTCATGGTTTTTTTAATAAAATCACGCATTTTCTGAAGTCAGTATGGCAAATTAAACCTTTTGAACACTTACAGGAGTCTTTTATCTGTTGCAAACCGAAATTGTTTCAGATTTGGTAAAAAAACATAACTTTGCATTAAATGTTATTCAATGTCATAGGAACGTTTGTTGTTCAGTATATGTTCTAGGCAGGATAAAGCCAAGGGATAAAAAAGATATCGTTGGAGTCATATGCGGATAGAGATGCAAATATCAAAGGTCAAGTTGGGTCTACTTTCACTGTTTATAAACAAACATGGCGTCGCCCTTGTCATTCGGCGATCGAGTCAGAATTAATCATCGGTAATCTCGAGAAACAACTGGGATAATTGCTATCATTATCAAAAGAATAGACTAATAAACTGAAAATCAGTGTCTAACTGTCATTTTACAAGATTGGGCAACTTTGGAGATCTAAATTGCGAAACAATATTGCGAGGGCACTAGCCAAGCGTGATCACTTTCCTTATCTGTGTTTGTAGACCTAAGCGGATTGGAACCTTTTCCACAAATTAAAACAGTTGGATTTGGCTTAAATATATTCGAATTGGTACCTTTTCGCTGTGTGTACATCTGACTGCACATGACATGGCGTTTAATAGACTAGGGTTAGAGTAGCTTCCCTTTGATAAAGGGCAGTTACTCTATCGGACAGCTCGGTGGATTGCTGCGAACGGCAAGTAAAAACAATTTGTGTAGGCAATTAATGTTTTGCATATATGTAGTTACCCCAGTGTATAAGAAACATGTTTCTGTTGGAACTATATTGACTACTGTCACTATCCATCACTTACCCTCTGACGTAATATATATTAATGCGCACGTTCCAGGTAAACTTACGATGTATAGGTAATGTTTGTGAGAGCTCGAAAGGGATTTTTTAATACAGAATTGAAGAATGCCATTATATGATAAAGAGGTCACCACGCTTGTGTGTTTGGGGATGGTAAATAGTCTGTATTAGGAATAAACACTATGTATTTAGCTCGCCAAGACCAAATACAATGTTTATTCCCAATACAGGATAACCTCTATGTTCTCTTGTCCATTGGTACAATGCTGAAATTCCAACAAGGTGGACCAAGATGAAACTTTGTATGACTAAATATGCAGATGATGTTTCAAAGCAATATGTTCCACTTCTTACCCCCCAAAAGTACATGGACTAGCCTCGATCCTGTGTATATTTCCGACAATAAGGGGCACCATATTGTTGGTTAACAGATTAAGAATTAAAAGTGGAAAGAAATTATTCTTCGATAACCTTTAATTTGAGGTGGAGAACATTCAAATATATATCAGCGGTGAACAAATTTAAAGCCAAAGACGCATATTTGGAGAATTAAACAAACTAGAAAACGAGTGTTAGAACATATCTGATGTTACACTATTTTATATCTCACATCACAGGCAAAATAGGTGCCCTTTATCCTTGCTTGTTGTAATAGTCTAAAAATGTAATGGATGTTTGCAATGTGTGACCTGTCTTATTGCGTGCCATTGTTCCCGACGCCGTGATAAGAGTCCTCAACATGTTAGGACATAACTGCATCAAGAATAAAATGTGGGGACTTGTACGATGTAGCATTCGACCGGAACGCTCTTGAGGTACTCAATATACTTTTATTTCTGTGTCTGTTAAAATAAATTCGTGAACCATATTGATAATTTTGACTAAATAAACGTTACAAACATTAACAATACAGTATTCCTTTGAATCTTAAGAATGAGTGAATGGATAATCTTTATTTCCTCCATAAGTATCGGAGTGTACAAACATGGAAATTCATTAATTTACATGCATGATAACACTGATTACAGAAATTATCTGCATTGTAAGGTTACATGTTAAGAATAGACGTCAGCTGCCACAATCTTATTTCTTTGATTACTGAGCCCATGTGTCTCGTGTCGTCTCCTCTACAAGATGCGTGATGCCACCAAGTAGTGTCACAACCTGTGACTTCGTTGTCTGTACAATCTTTCTATTTTCAGATGTTCATTAAAGCACAGTAAGTCTTGTAGATTCTCAGTGTTTATTTCTGTCACAGTTTACTAACTGGTGAAGTACTACATCGTTACATTCTCATGCACACATTATTCATACACCAGTTGTTACAGGTCAAATACCGAGTTTAACTAGAGCATAAATTGGCCTGCTTTTCTTGTTGTAAATGTCACACAAATTCCACAATCTGTGGGGAGATGTCTTTCATGTATCATATGAAAACGTTTCAGATCTTGGTGGCTTGACACCTTTTCTATCCATATCTGGCTTTGAAGTCAAGCTACTGCATAAATAACCATTCTTTTCCATATTGTCTTTCGGAGAGCAGAAGGTCCGGGGTTCGATCCCCGGCCGCATCATACCAAAAGACGTTAAAAGATGGTACTTGTTGTTACCCTGTCTGGCGCTCGGCATAAAGGGGCTAAAACAAGGACTGGTCGGCTCGGAGTCAGTATACTGTGTCTGAGTGTGGTATTCATGTTAAACTGCGGCATGGTATCCCAGTGACCTAGCGCTATAAATCGGTATCAGTCCGGACTAGTACAAGTAGCCACACACACATGTGCATGCACGTCGCTATATAAGTGCAATAATCTTGGACGCGACGTTAAACCCAATTTCACTTCACCTCACCATATTGTCTTTGGTTGGTTACATTGTATGTCCTTTAGTGAGATATGTTTCTATGGAATGAAAGAGCTTGTCCTTTTTATTAATACCTAGGGGATCATGGAGTACAGATTTATCTGATGTATAGTTGTGTAGGTGCTGCCCAAGTCTGATGTAAAAGGTTTTGTTTTGTTTTTTACAAAATACCCTGCTTTACATCTACAGAGTATATTGACGTAGATACGTTTAGTCTTGACAAACACTGCTTCCGTTGTTCAGAGACCAAGAGTTTGAGTAGTTACACTAGTTGGTGATCTGTTGTGGAAGCTCTGTGGTCTGGCAAAGTAGCGTTGCAGTGGTTCTAGTTGTTTTGATGATATGTTTGACCATAGTTAACAAGTATAGATGATAAGGATAAACATAATAAGAATAACTCGATGTCATATTTGAATACTTGTCAGTGGATTTAGTCCTCCAGCTCTTAGTCCAATATTTCAGAGAAGTAATGGTATCCCTCATCTTAACGCATGGTCTTGTGGTTCTCTCACTCACTTCCTGTGTGGCCATTAGAGAACCGCACTCTCTTTCACACAAAAAATCGTTTCTGTCAAGGTCACCGAGCCTGATAATCCGATTATAGAGTTACTTGCCTCGTACAATACTCTGAAATTCCCATTGGTGTATTCAAGTTGTGTAGGCTTCACCGATATATTTGATTCTTCTATACTTGACTCTTCCACTTCTTTTCCACATCTTTGATGGTGGGAATACCGGTTACATACAAGAATATCATTTATGGTAACTTCAGCAATGCACATCAAGATCAACATCAAGCATTGACTGGGGCCAGTGGTTGTCTGTTTTGAGGTGGGTGATTCTCATCCAGGTCTGTAGTATCAGGTATTGCAAGCAAAGAAAGGCCTTGTTGCTTTTCTGTAAAAAAAGGTACACACGTATTAAAATAAAAGTTTCGATCGCCTTTCAAAATTCATTTTGTGGATTTACACTTTAAAGATGTAATAGTTACTGATATACCCTAAGATAAACCCTTGGGTAAAAACGAGATGTTGGGATCTTTTGATAAAGTGTCCATGTTTTATTGCTGATACAATTCTTTTTGGAGTAATAAGTAATGAAAGCATCTGTGCCTCAATTGTCCATTGAAAAATGAACCTATAAGTTCATACCAGATAACTCTTTTAAACAACATTAACATACCTTCGTCATCTAAAGCTCTGTGATGAATGGGTTTTCTGTAAATATAAAAAATAACCAGCTTTTAAATATCAATGACAATTATCATTTACAAGTTTAGAGTTTCTTAACAACATTTTCAACACATGCATGTCATTAACCGACCGTGTTTTATTTTGTCAGGTGTAAAAGGAATATGTATATGTCTTCCTAAACCTCTCCGTGACATTATGATTAATTGTTATTCTGAACATGAGTAGTTTACTTTGTTTCCTCCTTTACTTCCGTTTCAGGGGCGGTTGGGGTAGCCTAGTGTTTAAAGCGTTTGCTCCTCACGCAGATGGCCCGAGTTCTATTCCCCACAGGGGTACAATGTGTGAAGCCCATTTCTGGTGTCCCATACCGTGATACTGCTGGAATATTGCGAAAGGCGGCGTAAAACCATACTCACTCACTCTAATACTACTTCAGCTGGATGCACTAGACGTTCAGTAGAAAACATTTATTACCCAAAGCCGAATGCAAGTGATCGAATATGACTTTCTTAATAGGTGAGACCAAATTTCGTTCGAACTATTTAGTGTTTTTAAGTCGTCAGTATTTAAGTCCTCACGTACCATTAACGTGGAGAAAATCTGCTGCAATAAAAGTTGTTGTGCATATACATGTATGTTAAATTGGTGCCTCGGGTCATGAGGCTCCCTGGTTCCCTCGTATGTTCCTGATGGCAATGATTTGAGAGCAAAATATGTAAAAAAAACTATTTTTGCCACAATACAAATGTTAAGTTTTGTTCGTCAATCATGAATAAACAATGATATAGAGAGGTAATCTCCCGTTTTCCTGAACTATTGTTACCTGCCAAACTTGATCCCATCCTCAATGGTCTCCGGAAGGTCTCTGTCGAGTGTTTCCGGCAGGAGTAGGGACAACAGACCTGCCAGGACTGCCAGACCGCCAAACATTAAAAGCGGCAGAGCGCGGCCGAAGTCCCCACCAACAAACTTGCCCTGTGAATTGATTAATTCATATTGGTCTAAAGTGACCGTGAAACCATGTTAATTGAATACCAACATATTTACAGCAATTATTGACGGTATTACATTCGTATATAACCCGTTTCACTAAATGTAGATTCAATTTATGCGGTCAAGAGTGATCCAAAGTATGTTTTATGCAACTTGTCAATCAACTGCACTAAATTTGAAATAGTTGAACAATCTTGGACACACAGATACAGTGGCGATGTTATGTTTTAGGTTGAATATTTCGTTAATCTCACTGTAGGGATTTCACTCATACACCTAAATTATAATTATGTACTATTATGTACATAGTTGAGTAACTCAAACATGTGTCACACTTCGTATATGTATGGACATGGAAGGAAGGGTTATCTGCATGCAAAACTTACCCAGTCTGCAATATACGGTGCTATCATGCCTCCTATCCGGGCCAAGGAGGAACTTGCGCCGATGGCAGAGTGGCGGATGACTGTTGGGAACAGTTCTGAGGAGAAGGTATAGATGATGGCAAAGCCTGCTGCTGCCCCAAGCTTCCCTATCATAGCGAGTAGGACGGTGACCCATTGTAATGCTACAATGCGAAATACTTTCAATACATATTTCTTCACTGTAGTACTATTTAATGTAATCAGTGGTGAGGAAGTTATAATATGTAGATGCTCGAATTATCTGTAACCTTCCGGAATAGCACGGAAGTCAAGGGTTAAAGAAACATAAGGAATATTTTGATCTAGTAAAACTGGACTGGTTAAGCACTGTATGGAAAGTGCTGGAAGCTAGATAGACATCTTAAATTATATCTGACATTTCATCTGACATTACACCAAGACTAGCTTTTGTGTGAAGATCACCTTTCACCCTGGTATTCAGCCCAGGCATATCACGGAAACCTGACCACTGTTGCGGCGAGGTGAATATTATTCTTGTCATGGGCATTTCCACTGCTCTCACATTTTATACTACCATTGAATATTGTACTACCACTCTGTAATTGATGTGCAGTAATTTTGTATTCATTTGTAAACCTAGTTCATTTTGAAATACAATAATTATTGTTTACTGTATACCATTTGTTGGTTGTTTGTTGGTTTCACACTAAATTCTATTATGTACAGATTTCTTGGCTCACATATTGATTCCATTTGGGAATCCACGCATAACAACATACACATCGCGTGGCAGAGGTGAGAATAAGGCTTCCAAAAACGGTTTGACATTGAGAGAGGTAAATCCATGTCTACTTACACTGATCAGCATACATGATGGTGAAGATGGTGAGGATGCAGGACACTCCTCCTACTAACATAGATGCACAGTGCATGACCTTCCTCCCCACTTTGTTGAGTAGCATTACTACGAGACCACAGGCCGGTAATTCCACAAGTCCCACCAGCAGGAAGTTGAGGTGGAGGCTGCCTGCCCCAAGGTTGTCTGAGTTGAGAGATAGGCCGTAGTACACCATGCTGACCACCATCCTTGATCCAAGTTTCAGACATACATGTAGTTTATTCAATCCTTATTTCCATGGGAGTGTATGATATACTCTTGGTAATGTCAGTTCCAACAGAAGGTACTTCTTCCCTGTTCACCTATTTGCATATTAACATTATCATTCAAATGTAAAGGCTCCTTGATATTTCCCTATTGTTCCAGAGAAGATTCCATAATAATAGAAATTACCTTTGCTCCTTGTGAGCTATGAAGTGGGATAAAACAATATCCACAGCTGCAAGAGAGCAGTAAAATTATAATTTCTAAAGATAAAGCATTATTGTTACAATGCGAAAATGAATGACATAATACCACATTACCAGTTAAAAAATATAATGAGAGTTCGTGTACACATGACTGGAGTGGTGAAGAGATGCAAGAAGCTGCCCTTGGGTTTGTTGTCATCATGTGTTTCAGCCTCTGTCTTCTCTTGCTGTTCAAACAGGTTTTCAGGTAACTTGACTTTGTTCACGTCTGCTGCGCGACGTATGATCACTTCCGCTTCCTGATACCGGAACTCGTTCATCAGCCATCTTGGAGATTCTGGAATGACCCTGAGAAGAAAATCAATTATTCTTTGTAAATTAAGCCAGATTCAAGGCATAATCCAACTTCTAAAATATTTCACACATGCAATTGCAAACTACCTATTGACTTAATGGTGAAAAGAAGAAAGACGGATCACCTGGTTGATTTACAGTATCGAAATATCGTGCTGTTGTGAAGACAAGGACAGGTATTTCAATACAGGATAATTATCTGTTCATTTTCAAGCAGACGGTATTTCGGTATAAGAGTCTTAATTATTTTAATGGTTTGCATTAAGTGTAGCACCTTTTGAAAGCTCAATATCTTTCAATTATCGACATAATATTCACTACTGACCACCAGTAAATGAGGAAGATGGCAACAGGGACAGCTATGACTAGCTCCAGCGTATGCCAGTCTCGGATGAAGAAGGCAACTGCGGACAACATCGTCATACCAAGTGCAAAGAACACACCGAGAATCGTCCCTGTCCATACACGCTTAGAGGGGCCTACTATCTCCATACCTAAAAATGTAATGAAACACAACTAAGTTTGGTACTCCCTTGTCTCTTTGAAAAAACATATCCATACGACTTCGCTGTTCCACATTGTTACTGCATGTTCTAATACATGTGCCGACAACATGAGTAACATATCTTAAACTATTTGAACGTCTACGATACCCTTTTTCTTGTCAGTGTTGGAAATCGGTAGCATAAGTGAGATGGGGTGAAATGGGGTTTAACGTCGCTTCCAAGATCAATGCATAGCGACGTGACTGCACAGGTGTGTGTGGATGCTTGTACTAGTCCTGACTAATGCTGATTTTATAGTGCTTGCCCACTGAGATACCATGCCGTAGTTTAACATGAATGCCCCACTCAGACACAGTATACTGACTCCGAGCCGACCAGTCCTTGTTTTAGCCCTTAAATGCGGAGCGCCAGGCAGGGTAACAACAAGTAATATCTTTTAACGTCTTTTGGTATGACGCGGCCGGGGATCGAACCCCGAACCTTACGCTTAGGCGGTCCTGGTAGCATATGTGGCAGTACGGTAGGGGTATTGGTAGATGCAATATTACAGATAGGTGTAGTTGAAGTGAAAGATTGATAGAAAATGGTAGATGCAGTTCTAGCTGTAAAGGTATGAGTAGGTGTAGTGATTGTGGTATTCTTAGTGGCATGGTATTGGTAGATTTAGTATTGTAGACGCAGCCAATCGTGGCTTGGACACGAGTAGCTTTTGTAACAATACACGCCATGCAAGATTCTAGCATTTCTTTGAGAGTATTTTGTTAATTTCATTATCATTTACCTATTACGAAACAAGTGGTATACATTCCGGTTGCCGAGGCACCGTTGATGAAGCGGAGGGTGATGAACATGACGAAATTGCTGGACCAGTTGAGGATGATTCCCCCAGCAGTGAGGAGCAGGATACACAGATAAAGAGCCTTCTTCCGCCCGATCCTGACAAACAAACCCCGTCATATTAAAAGAAATGTATGCACGTGACATAGGTCACGGTAATGCATTGACTATGGATATAGTACCAAAGCATGGATTGTTTATCATGGCTGGTAAACTTGACAAACGTTAAAATCATTTGGCAGCAAAGACGCCTCAAATTATCATGGTCGAAGTAACAGTACTGTACAAATGTACAAATTTAATTCTTAAATTAAGCATGTAGGAATAAGAGTCTTCCTGGTTTGGGGATTTTCGCTTTTTCGGATTTGGTCAAAATGTCAAGATAAGATAATTTTATATAAAGGGACTACTTTGAGTTGACTTGAGTTGAGTTGAGTCAAAAATCACAAATACCAAATACTCTTTTGGCAATGACGTTTCACTGATACCATCTAGTAACGGAGAGTTAATGGGTCTGTAGCGAGGCAATATTTTACAAATATGTTCTTCATGTTTCAAAATATACTGTACTTCAGTTTGAAGATTTAAGTTGTCACAATAATCAAAACGACAAATCCTGCCCCACCGGAGGCACACATCACAAATACATGCAAAGGCAAGTCAATTGTTTACCTGAAAACAAAAACACAGGGACACGTCAAAATAGGGAATTGCATCAGGCATATTTTTGTGACCGTTGCCTCAAATTTGGAAATATCCTCCACTGAGGTTTTTGAATGCGCTTCATTGACTAAGTGACCACAAAAACATGTTCATGTGTCTGAAGTAAAACACTATTTTAAAAATATGAGTCTTTCACAAAATGGGCAATACATGATTTTAATCAAAATAGACAAAATGTGCAGTGTGTGAATCACTGCAGGGTCATTTGTTCTGTTAAAAACAAGTGTTAACATTTGTGAAAGTTATAATGTTAACGGCTTTATTCAACATGTTTATAATTTGACTAAAGATTATATTGACTCACTTGTCGCCCAGGGCTCCCGAAGCAAATGCCCCAAAGAAGCACCCACCCATGAAGATCATCTTTGAGTGAGTTGCGAGTATGGCGTCGTCACACACAAAACTAAACTGAATGAAACAGTACGGTCTGTTAACATGGTGTCATTAGGCCATTCCAGAAGACCTGCATTAAAACAAAACCAGTGCCCCATCACCAGGAATGTGGTTTGTCATAATATTTTCCGTGGGGCCTTGGCAAAGAACTAAATGAAACAGTACGATCTGTCAACATTGTATCATTAACCCGTTCCAGGGTAGTTAAAAAACCAGTGACACAGCACCAGGAATGTGGCTTATCATTATATTTCCCGAGTGGCCTTGGCAAACAAACCATACGTGGGCTTCAAGTTGAAGTAGTTTAACAGTGTTAAACGTTTTATTTTTGAGATACATTTTTAAGTATTCTATAAAGTTATCTCAACGTGTGACTTAGAAAATGGTTTACCTCCATTGAGGCAGTGTACTCGAACACTGACTTGTCATACACCCACTTCTTACAGCCGACCACTGTACGGTTGGCGCCCACAGTGGTGATGTTATCAATGTCACGGTAGATGTGACAACGGTCAAGCTGCAGTTTGCCGTCTCTTTTGACGTAGGGGATGGTGGCGTTTATAAGATAGGCGTGGTTGATAGACTGTACATTGTAGGTGTCGTTGTAGTGGCCGGGGATGGCGCACCTGTAGGGTAATAGAAAACCTGTAGGACTTCAATTTCCCGTGGGTAAAATAGGTCTTCAGCTTGCCGTAAAAGGCAACTATGCTTGTCATAAGGGGCGACTTGTTGATGCATGTCATCGTATCCCAATTGCGTGGATCGATGCTCATGAAGTCAATCACTGGATCGTCTGGTCGAGAGTCGATTATCTAAGACCGCCGTCATATAGCTGGATTATTGCTGAGTGTGGCGTTAAACAACAAACAAACAAACAAATCATTCTCCACTCTGCATCGGTTGACATGGAATCACCATGGAGCTAAGGATGTAATTAAAGTCAAATCTATTAGGTAATACAAACCAAAGACAACGCCTGGCTAGATGCTTTCTGTTGTAAGGCAACAGGAACGTTTAGAAGAAGGATTTAACAGTTTGTGAACATTTGAGATCTTTATCTTGAGCTTGAAGCTTTTGATCTTGAACTGAGAATTCAATTTGTTTTGGGTAGGTCTGTTGTTTTAACAAATTAAATAACAAGAATCCCAGTTGTTATCATACAAAAGTGAAAAAGTATCTTGAAGAATAGCTTCAGAAATCTGTTCCATGCGCAACCAATAAAGTTGTCTTAACATCTGTGTTGTTTGCTCAACCATCTCCGGACTGTGAAACTGGGCATATGTTTCAAACAGCAATTAAGACAAATAGTCAACCCCGATAGTCCTGTGAACTAGTTCAGCGCCCTATTGTCTAAGTCGCCACCTGTCGCGTAACAGATTTGGCTACATGAGCTGCCATGGTTGATAATTCTTGGTTTCTCAATACAGTGCCCGAGCACAGACGATGTACACCATCTGCCTCTTGTTTGGCTCCATTGACCATGAGCTGTGATGCTATTGAATGCAGTACTTACACCATTATTTGAACCTACACAATGTGAACAGATCGCATTGCATCACTGATCTATGTCAAGACAACCTACCAAAAGGTAGTATTGGTTTGTGACATCACATGAAATCATTTTGTTTGAGCAAAGATCCACCACAAGAATATATTGACACAATTGCTTATACCTGCTCGTATTGACACTTGCTGGATACTAGGTTTCAAGTTTTCATATATGCCGGTTCTGCACATTAAGATCATTATGTCTTGAGGTAAATATGTGACTAAGCCCAAATTGGTATTTTAGGCACATGAGCAATTTTCTTAACACTTCAAATATAATTTTAAAACAGTACATTTTAACAAATGAATAAAATTGAAGAACCCCTAGTATGTATGTTTTCTTCATCATGTTTGAGGTCGAAGCTATGAAAATACCTGATTCAAGTTCAGTTACAGATAAACATTGGCGTTAGGCAAGTGCGTTAACTAACATTCAGTATCTGCAAACAAAATTACGTTCTCAAGCAGTAAAGAAAGAAATACTAGTATCACTGCCTTCGATGCGTGTTTGGGCTTTGAACAGGTCTGCTTTAACAACAACTAATAAAATGCTATAATATGATATTCCTGTTGTAAAATTTGCGTAAATAAATCAATGTTATGAAGTCAATATTCATTGAAGTATAATCTATAGGTGTTGATAGATTTTGCATGCAATACTTTACCATTTTCAATGTATGATCATTAAAGTAAACTTGCTCAGTTGACCAACTCACCTGTGTTCTGGAACGTTGAGGAGGAACATACTGATCATCATCCTGCTACCAAAGCTGAGTCCTGGAAGACACAGGAGAAAGTACACCCATTTCTGATAGCGTCCAAACTCCCCCAGGTGCCGCAGAACATCATCGAAGTTCAGTCTCATCTTTCATATGGTGACCCCGACTGCTTCTTTTCCAAGTTATGCTATTCAGGGCATTTCGCGGATTGATAAAATAGTTGCCTTATAGTATATCCTCGTTGTGTTCCAATCGTGTCTCAATACTACTGACCAGTCCGTAACAAAAACTTTAAAGATAAATGTTAACTGTGCCATGTTTCCTTCCAATTATCTGGCGGAACTGGAAAACAAGTTCTAAAATATGACACATCAGGTACCGACTAAAGTCCATTCATTACCAAGCAGTTTTCTTTTCTACTTCAATGTAGTTTGTTAGAATGAAAAGCACGCCCAGCCATGACTTGGATTTACACTGTTCCTAATACGGACAATAAATACGCTTATACAATACTGGTGTGAAGGGGCCACAGAGAGGGTTAATAATTGAGGTGAGGTAAAATGGGGTTTTATGGTCGCGTCAAAGATTATTCGTTTATATTGCGACGTGCGTGCGTGTGTGTTTGGCTGATAGTACTTGTCCGGACTTCAGCCGATTTTTTTATAGTGCTAGCCCACTGATATATCATGCCACAGTTTAACATGTATACCCCACTCAGACACAGTATACTGACTCCGAGCCGACCAGTCCTTGTTTTTGGCCCTTAATGCCGAGCGCCAAGCAGTTTAGCAATAAGTACGTCAATCTTTTAACGTCTTTTGGTATGACGCGGTCGGTGATCGAACCGCCAACCTTTCGTTCTCCGGCGGGACAATCTACTACCGGACCATAGAAGTGGTGCTGGATTAATACAGAGCATATATTGCTTATATAGGTTGTAAGATGTCTTTGGGAAGAGTCATTATTTTAACAACGTTGGTACTGATTAAGACACGCACACACACACATACATACATACACACACATACGCACATACATACATACACAAACACACACACACACATACGCACATACACGCGCGCACGCACGCACACACCACACGCTCACGCACACGCACACGCACCGACACAGACACAGACACAGACACAGACACAGACACACACACACACACGCCTTTTTACACAGCCTTAGGAGCCGCAACCCTGATCAAACACCTCTTGAGGGAGAGTCGTTTGACACACTTTGAAATATTTATATAGAAAGAGCATGCTCGGTTGGTCCTCAAAACTTGAAATGGCGACACCAAAGGCTGGAACTGCAGGAATATTGCTCGACATAATAGGAACGTTTACTATTGGAAAGATGAATAATACGACCGACAAAATCTTTACTATGTTCATTACAATCCTCTGCTAAAAGTCGAAATCAAGCATCTGTTTATGAACCACTATCAAATAGTGATGACAACAGACAACAGGTGTTGGCGGAAATGTGAGCATATCCTGCATCACCGATGGCACACGTCACAAACATATGCAAAGACAAGTCACATTTTTGCATCACTGATGTGTCAAACTTGTAAATAGAATCCACATATCCAGTACAAAACGTTTTAAAAGCCTTGCTGAGGCCTTGAATGTTGTATCTCGATCAAACAACAGAGAGTCGAATGACACTCCTAGAAATCTTCGTAAAAAGAGCATGCTCGATTGTAGCTCGAGAGTTGTGAAATGTAGTCCCATAAGAGCTGTTGGAATATTGTTTGTCATGAAGGGAAGGTTGACTATTGGAAAGTTGAAGTCACCCCTCTCGTCATTCAGGTTTGTGGAGTGTTTTTGTCACTCTGAATCTTTGTGCATTTGTCGAAGTATGAAATAGATGAGGCGGTTTCTCCGGTAGCTGTTTCTAGTTCAAGTGTGTAAATCAGTGGAAGGGCTAGCTGAGCATTGTTAAACGATCATCGATATACCTGAAGCTCATGTAAAACTTCTTGGCCAAATTGCATTGTTTTGACTTTGCCAGTCCTCCAGTCTTCATCAGGAAGAGGAAGAAACCTATCATCAGGAAGGGGAGCACAAATGGTGCCCATGGGGATGCCTACTTCTTGCCTAAATGCCTTACCCTCTAAATTTGACTATTAAATTTTTTCTCACATAACTTCAGATGACATTTGCTTTCATTTTTATTAAAGAATCTACTATCTGTTGTTACCACGTTTAGTAACAAATGTCCTATAGTCATTCCTCTTGTCATACAGTCTTGTTGATAGTTTGTTGTCACTTTAAAGATGTCTTCACTGCGATGTTAATTCAATAGGAGTATACATTGCGTACATTGTTTTAACTTAATGGTGCCATACAGCAATACAGTCATCAAATGACTATTACAGTAAAAAATACCAATAGCAAGCTACCAATACAGAATAATACACCCTGGTAAAAAAACACTGCAAGAAACATACACTACATGTAGTTTGTTGGTTGGTTTAACACCGCACTCAGCAATATTCAATAATAAAATAATTGCGGTCGATAACATGCATCAACCAAGTCAGCGAGCCTGACCACCCGATCCCGCTAGTCGCCTTTTACGGAAAGCATGGGTTGCTTAAGACATATCCTACCCCGGATCTTCAGAAACATAAAATAGTCAAATCACAATTAATATATGTGCGTTTCCCAGAATAATTTCCTTTGCAACAATGAGACCTATTTAGTGACTTAAAAATATTTGTTCGCTAGTCTCTAGTTTAAGGTAATCATCTTCGTCCGTTGAAGGCGATATTTGAAATCAATATATTCTACTTCTAGCATGGCTATTCCTGACAATAAAGGCCACCATATTATTTGTTTTGTGTGGAAGTGTATCATGTAAAAACGTTGTACACATAATGTTGAGAGACAGGAAATAAGATACCAGTACTATTGCTGATGCGTTGCTTATTATTGGCTCATCTTCTACAAACATTCCTACAACTACAACTAAACACATGACAAATATGCAGATCTCGCTTTCGAAATGTCACGCTGTACCAAGTCGTCCGATTCCCCATTGTTCTCGGTGCCTTAGGTTTGGTACCTCCCAATCTGTTGACTGACATCGGGAGAGTACCCGGGTTTGCTACCAGGAATACAGCCCCTCTGGCAATCTGGGTAATGTAGAAGGCTGCAGTGTTGGGGAGTCTTCACATTCTCCGAAAAGTTCTGGGTTGGTTCGACTAGGCAGCGCTTCCTTGGAGAAGTTCCATTCGCTGTCTGGGCTGCGTGTAGAGGGGGCAAGGGCCCTGAGCTGATGATGAGCCTAACCAGCCTGACTGTGCCAGGATGACCCAAACCCTCTTTTATTCTAATCTGTAAATAATAATAATAATAATAATAATAATAGTAATAATAATAATAATAATAACAATAAAGCAGCTACAACTACATTAAGCTTCACTAAGTTGATCATGTACCTACAAGTAGGGCGGTGGGGTAGTCTCGTGGTTAAAGCGTTCGCTCGACACGCTGAAGACCCCGATTCGATTACCAACATGGGCAAAATGTGTGAAGTCCATTGCAGGTGTCCCCCGCCGTGATATTGCCGGAATATTACTAAAAGCGGCGTAAAACCATACTCACTCGCCTACAAGTAAGCCAAAAGGAATTATCTGATGACTCTTTGAGGAATCCTTCTACCAACAAAACAATGACATACGATAAGTAAAAGAGCCAATAAACTACATAGCAATTCCTCGCAAAACCCAAATCTAATATGCCAATATAATTAGAATGTTTCCTTTGTTGTTGAAATTGACTGTTTTATTACAATAATGAATACGAAACACAAGCATGAAGCAGAACGTCAGTATGGCAATTCCTGATGCCTTTGAAAGATACACAAACGTCTTTCAAAAACACTCAGTCTGTATTCCGCGTGAAAAGACAGGACAAACAACCACTGTTTGAAACGAAACAAATATATTTTCTGTAATCACCCATATACACGATCATTTTACATCAATGGGAATTGTTCAAATAATCAGAATGATACACCACACAAATAAATAACATGCTGGATGTCCTGACAATTTGATGTGAAACACTAACAGTTGTTTAGTTCAGATTTGTCTCCAGCAAAATATGCATGGCTGGTTACTATGGGTGATAAGGCATATTGCGTGATCAGTTGAGCCTTGCTGTGCGGATTGCTGACGTTGTTTTGGGCCTTTACTCTGTTATTTTACAGGCTTCCACGACATGTCTAGAATATTGTTGTTATTCATTCTCTGATTAATTCAAATTCTGTCAAGTCATAAATGGAAACATTCATATGGTGGATTATTATCCTAATTGTTACAGTTTGTGTATGAATGCTAACCACTGATTTCTTAGTAAACTTCAAGTGAGTGGGTTATTAATTGACTTCTTCACAACAAGTCTTCAGCTATATAACGTAAACGTTAAGAATACCTCGGGGTTAAACTTCTCAACAGCAGCTCAGCCCCAGCTGTCATTCATGCAGTATATTGCAATGTGTTATGTTATTCAGGGGGGGGGGGGGGGGGGTCAGCGAGGTTCATAGGCTAATCAACATTTATGTATCTTGTCATGTTTTATTGACTTCAATCGCTCGACGGATACTACATACACATACACTATGGAATGTATCACCCCACACCGAGACAGACACATGGTGCATTATTGACCACATACACATTTGTTAAATTAATTCGTCTGATAAAACATCAGACTTCTTTTGGAAGGGGGGCGGTCGGGTAGCCTAGTGGTTAAAGCGTTCGCGCCTCACGCCGAAGACCCGGGTTCGATTCCCGACATGGGTACAATGTGTGAAGCCCATTTCTGGTGTCCCCCGCCGTGATATTGCTGGAATATTGCTAAAAGCGGCGTTAAACCATACTCACTCACTCACTCACTCTTTTGGAAGGAATACAATGAGCAAATACTCCCCTCTTCGGGAAACTGGTTTCTAATTAATATCACGGAGAATGTTCAACAATAAATATAGCTTCAATAACGTTCAAAACAAATGCACAAAAGTACACAAAAGTCAACACAAATGGAAATGCGCAAATTGTGCTGCCGCATTCGTTGTCATCTCATATACCACACAATCATGTGTTTACACAATACATTTTATCAAAAGTAAGATCAATATCGAAATAAGATACATGCTAAACTTTCCGTGTTGTTTAATAAATCTGTGGAAAAATGAATGCTCTCGCTTTGCGAATAACGTATCTGTCTACAAATCAGATATAGTTCAGAGTACTCTGACGGCCTGCGTGCGCAAATCATTTTAATATTCAAACTTCAATCACTTCAATGATAAAAACGACAACACAATTTCCATAATCAAAAGAAAACTCTGCTGAAACCAGAGTCAGTTGTACGATTTCGACTGTCATAAGCTTTTGTTTATGAATCTCTATCAGTTAGTACTGATACCAGGTTTCGCGGCAAGGTCGGGTGAGTGTAGGTCCTTAATACTTAATACTTTTAAATATAAATATATAACATCAACTACAGAGAAGAATCGATTATCTGCCGAAACAGACACAAAGTGTTCGCGAAAATGTTAGCATGACCCTGTCTCCCGGTAGCACTCGCCGCTCACACAAGGCAATGAAAAGGAACTGTTTCTGTGTTTTTCTTAGTAACGCGACACTGCTGTAACCTTCCATACGGCGACCTGTTAATAGATCGAGCCTCGACCAGGCATCACAGTGTTGGACTTGGCAATCCAGCGACACGATAGGGCCCATGTCAACAAGTAGTTATAAACATCTATCCTCGTGTTATTGGTTTTCTGACGCTTAAGAAAGAGTCGTAGTTTTCTCGTAAATCAAACGAACAACTGTTCAACCTCTCGCTCACCTATAAGGCCAGGTTCACACAGTGTCGATTATGGCTCCCGTTTGAGATCAGACAGCGCTACGACACGAAAAGTGAAAAAGTCGGGTTACTATCCTCAATGATCTGGACTGTCCTATCATTGTCTAAACGCAGTCGTATACGTTCGCAACAGAGTCCTACGGATCGGGAAAGGTCCAGAGAGGTCGGCCAAGCACTTCCGACAGTATGGTGCGTCCCGTAACATTCGGGAAAACTCAGCCGATTTTGTCTAGTCGGATTACAATCGTGACGATGTCGTGACAGATTCTACTGTATCGGATAAAAATGGTAACAATTGCCTGTGTTGTCTGGACGGTGTCCTGTGGATCGGACCGCTGTCGTGATGAACGGGCATGAATTGTTCATTGCCGTTTCTTGTCTTTGTCGTCTTTGTCGGTTCACTGTCCGGTCACTGTCTGATCTCTGATTCGGGAGAATCGGGACAGGACAGGAAACGGCTGAATCGGGACACTTCCTGAACACTATCTGACTGTTTGTGAATTTCCTGCCACGAATCACAGGATCTTGATCAGACCTTTGACAAATTTTAATCGGGAATGGTCCTATCAAGGACGGCAGTAAAAATCCTGAATGTCTGACTGAACCCTAAAAGATAACTTTATCTAAACATTAGCCTTCGTATATCATAGCGAGAACAATCGCGATAAACATGTCCGTCCTAAAATGGATGATGTACGAAAATATAAAATCCAACGATATTGGCAAGAGCAGCATAGTAACTTTTTTGTCCCTTGAGGTCATAACCAGAGATGGTCTTATCATTTATTTCATATAATTGAACCACTCAGTATTGTACAGTTACATCAACATACCGGTTAACACGTTTAAAAGTGAACTAGGGTGCTGCTAGACATGTAACAGCCATGTTATGGATGGGCACACTAACAGTGAATGAGGAAGTCACATCACGGCATGGCAGTAGGTCATCACTGTAGGAATAGCCACGACCAAGGTGTGCTTTGGAAATATGCATCTGTGAAACTGGATAATGCTGGATGGGACAGGATACTGTTGTGTATCAGAACAACTCATTTCATCCGGAAACAACAAAATTATTGGGCTTCATTCGTCATATTGGGCTTCTTTCATCTTTCTGTGCAATAAGTTATCCATCATCTCTAAAATCACAAGGCGATTACCTCATTCCGACTGATAACTCACAAACATTAACACAGACACGACAGACGCAGGGAAACCTTCGCTTAGTTAACATGGGCAGACTTCTCTCGTTCTTGTACACACGGCATTATGAATCCTAGTATAATATACATACGTCTATCACCAAGAAGTAGCAGTTTGAATCGTGTGTTTCGAGTAATTCTGCTGCATATTTGTTTTGTACTGATTGTTTTGTATATGATTATTGACGATTTCTTCAAACAGAATTAGTGATGATTTCTTTCGACAGTTGAAACAGGTAAGACACTACATGGAGACTAAAGTCAAGCGGTGACGGGAGCTGATGGCTTTCTGTATATAGGTGATTGTTTCTTATCGTTGTCTGTGGTTTCAGGCAATGATAGCAATGGCAGACCCCGTTGTTTTTCTGAAGAAGAAAATCAGAAGAAAATGAAGAAAAGATTTACCATGTAGGTTGTCGGAGTTTCGCGATACAAATACGTTTAAGCTTTTGGCTATTAATATTGAAATGCAGTCCCACCAAACATGAAATAATACTCATATAAATGAATCAATTTCACTGCCTCTAAGTCAAAGGTTAGGTTATATAAAAAACGGCAGCGTTTACATTAATCTAACATTTGTCCGAGCCTTTTTAAAATATTAAGACTGTTTTAAAATAAAATATAAATTGTTCCTTTTTTTCACTTTTACAGATTCACCTTATGTGCATAATACAAAACCTTCTAAAACAGATGAACCATACCTTCTTCGTCTGGTTGTCTGTGACCAACGGGTTTTCTGAAAATATCAACATAAATAATGTTCAAAAAACATTTGTTTATCGACCAGAGGAAACAGTAACATTTGATATTTTACTTAAATTAATTTACAAAAGATCAAAACAGTTTCACATGCAAGTAAATATGAAAATTCAAAGCAATTATTACCTGCCGAATTTGATCCCATCCTCGATGGTCTCCGGAAGGTCTCTGTTGAGTGTTTCCGGAAGTAGAAGGGCCAACAGACCTGCCAGGACGGAGAAGCTGCCAAAAATCAATAGCGGCAGGGCGCGGCCGAAGTCCCCGCCAACAAACTTGCCCTGTGACGAAAGCACTTTTAATTATTACACGGTGTACATAGGGCCATCATTGTGAATATCAACTTGCAGCAACAATTCTTGACGGCATAAAAGGCACGTTCGGATTGTGTCAAAACTATATTTCATGTTCCAAAACATATAAAAAAAACAGCATGGAATATTAAACAAGGAATATTCTTGTAAGGTGATAGCATTACTTAATTTGCTGTCATGGGTAGGTACAACTTTGCATAAACGGACAGATCGCAACAACGTTAATGCTTATATCGTATTCAAAACATTGAAAGCAGAGCGTAAATACGGTTTATTTTTACTATAGTCCTGTCTATCGACTTAATAAGCTGAATCGAAAGTACAGCTGAAACGGAGACTTGATATATAGAAGCTCCATATATGGTCTTTGTTAGAGATCTTCCAATATGACGTGGATCGCACAAGTCCGCCCTTCGTTTGCGCTCATAGCTTCTGCACACATTGAGCGGCAAGTGAAATCAACATAGCAACATTAGAGATATTAATACTTTAGGGCATACTAATTAACAGATGCTTTACCCAGTCTACGATATAGGGGGCTATCATGCCCCCAACACGGGCCCAGGAGGAGCTTGCCCCGGTGGCAGAGTGCCGGATGACAGTGGGGAACAGCTCTGAGGAGAACACGTAGATGATAGCAAAGCCTGATGCTGCCCCAAGCTTCCCTATCATAGCCAGCAGGACGGTGATCCACTGCAATGCTACAATGCAAAGAATATACTGTAAATTACTAAACATACATACTTCATGATTAATTATTGGTGAATTCATATTCGACAGTAAAGGTATTCATGGTTGCTGTTAGCGACACGTGCCCATGAAGAGAATCGAACCCAGATCCTAGCGCAAATATCACTAGGCTTATAGTACAAGCCACCCTTTCTCATTGGTAATAAAGCTATTTTCACTTCACACATTTCCGTGAAACATTCATCTGCGAAGTTCAAGAAACAGCCGTCCCTCTGCATATTGCTGATGACCACATGTCAAACATATTGGTGCATTTTTGGCCTGGTACTAAATTAGCCCTGCTAATGGAAATGACGTTGACACACAAGTTTATGTCATGACATACAACTGCAATAGAACGAAGTCTCACCGACTGTGGGGCACATGTAAAAAACAACCACAGAAATATTTAGGCATAGAAGACTATGGTTTCTTACACTGATCAGCATACAGGATAGTGAAGATGGTGAGGATGCAGGACACTCCTCCTATGATCATCATTGCACAGTGCATGATCTTCCTTCCTAGTCTGTTGACCAGTCCTATTGAGAGCGCATAGGCCGGGAACTCCACCAGCCCTACTAGCAGGAAGTTGAGGTGGAGGCTGCCTGCCCCAAGGTTGTCTGAGTTGAGGGACAGACCGTAGTACACCATGCTGACCACCAACCTAGGTGCAGGTTTCAAACATACACCTAGTATATGGGATCCCTATTTCCCTATATGTACATGCGTACGTATGTGTGTACATATAAGTATATTTTCTGTCAGAAAATGAATATGTATTGTATGACAGTAATAGGTAACTGGGTAGTATAGTTTGTGTGATATTTGACATATGTACTCACTTTCATTACCATTAAGTCATATCAAACAAACACTAAATGACAAAGTTTGATATGTACATTCATCCGGGATTTTACCGACGCTGCCTTTAGTGTATCTGTTCGGGACATTAATATTACATCAACTGGCATTACACTACAAAACAATATAGATATTACTTCTTCGGCATAATAAACAGACAAGTAAAAGAAATATGCCATAATGGTGTTCAAAACATGATGCATAATTCACATCAGTACAGTTTAGGTATTTTTTAGACTTTATTCACTCTCCTGTGAAAATATATATCCGATTATATACACTCCCGGGTTTGACTTAAGAAGGGCCTCTTGGTTCAAGAAAGTTCATATGCATAAAATGTGTAAGTCTTGGAAATTGTTCTTGGAATTCAATGATGGACAATCATACCATGAACAGGGGAAATACATTTTACCATTAACGGAACTTGTTTTCAGGCAGCCATTTCCCTTTGTGTCGAAAAGCGAGCAAAGGTTAAAGATATGAAAAGTGAACTACATGGATGTGAAAGATTGGGTTCACGACCAACTTACCAGTTAAAAAATATAATGAGAGTTCGTATGCACATGACTGGAGTTGTGAAGAGATGGCAAAAGTTGCCCTTCGGCTCTTCGTCATGTGATTCAATCTCTGTCGTCTGCTGTTCAAACAGTTTGTCGGGTAACTTGACTTTGTTCACCTCTGCTGCGCGGCGTATGATCACTTCTGCTTCTTCATCCCGGTACTCGTTCATCAGCCATCTTGGAGATTCTGGAATGACCCTGTCAAGGCAACGAATATTAGTTTGTTGACAAACCACGTTCCATCGGTGAAGCAATTTCAAAACATATAACACAGAAAAACACTGTTGCTAACCATGTAGATTTAGATTGAGCCGGCAATCATGTGACTATGTGCGAATGTATAGTGTGACTATGTGTGAATGTATAATGTGACTATGTGTGAATGTATAACGTGGCTATGAGTGTATACTGTGACTGTTTGATTGCATAATGTGACTGTGTGAATGTTTTGAGTGACTGCATATGAATGTTGTTGTGACTGTGTGTAAAGGTATAATGTGACTGTGTGAAGATATAATGTGACTGTGTGTGAATGTATAACGTGGCTATGAGTGTATACTGTAACCGTTTGAATGTATAATGTGACTGTATGAATGTATAGTGTGACTGTCTGAATGTACAATGTGACAGTGTGTGAATGTATAATGTGTTTGTGAATGTATAATGTGACAGTGTGTGAATGTATAATGTGTTTGTGAATGTATAATATGACAGTGTGTGAATGTATAATGTGTTTGTGAATGTATAATGAGACGGTGTATGAATGTATAATATGTTTGTGAATGTGTAATGTGACTGTGTGTGAATGTGCAATGTGTTTGTGAATGTATAATGTGTTTGTGAATGTATAATGTGACAGTGTGTGAATGTATAATGTGTTTGTGAATGTATAATGGGACAGTGTGTGAATGTACAATGTGTTTGTGAATGTATAATGTGACAGTGTATGAATGTATAATGTGTTTGTGAATGTATAATGTGACAGTGTGTGAATGTATAATGTGTTTGTGAATGTATAATGTGACAGTGTGTGAATGTACAATGTGTTTGTGAATGTATAATGTGACAGTGTATGAATGTATAATGTGTTTGTGAATGTATAATGTGACAGTGTGTGAATGTATAATGTGTTTGTGAATGTATAATGTGACAGTGTGTGAATGTACAATGTGACTGTGTCTGAATGTATAATGTGACAGTGTGTGAAGGTATAATATGTTTGTGAATGTATTTTGTGACTCTGTGTGAATGTATAATGTGACAGTGTGTGAATGTACAATGTGTTTGTGAATGTATAATGTGACAGTGTGTGAAGGTATAATATGTTTGTGAATGTATAATGTTACAGTGTGTGAATGTATAATGTGACAGTGTGTGAATGTATAATGTGACAGTGTGTGAATGTTATTGTGACTGTGCGTAAAGGTATAATGTGACTGTATGAAGATATAATGTGACTGTGTGAATGTATAAGGTGTCTGGTTCATATGAGAATGAATCTCAGTTTCCTATTCTTATTCTAATGATATGGTTACACACATTCCCCGCTTAGGCTAAGCGGTTTTCCAGATGTAATGTATTCCAATTTTCGGAATATCATCAATGCAATTGGTTGTGCATAAAATGTAGCATCATTATCGTCTACACAAATTTGCAGCTTCAACATGGTGATATGTATATTTGTTCTAAAAACTTCCATTCTAATAGAAAAGCTAAATTGCTGGGACTTTTTAATGAGATCTGCAAACCCAGATATATTTGTTCAATGAAAACTATGAGCCTGAATATTTTCACAAGAAAAAACGTTACAAAAATGTCTTTTTGTAGTAGACAATTTCTGTTTTTCAACAGCCTGAAGCCAGATTTTGTTTTTCCCCAAAAAAAGTCGGGGACAATTTACTTGTTTCAAGAAAATGCCATACTATTGTGTAGCTTTGTTATTTCAACCCGCTACAGTTATGGTCTTCAAGTTGAGATGTACCGTGATTCATTTACAAAGCCATCATTGTTATTGTTTCAACTTTGCCAGGCGTGTATTACATTTCAATGGTTTACGTCTATGACTACCTCTTCTTGGCAACCATTCTTGCCATCTTTTATTATCGCCATAATATTTAGTACTGACCACCAGTAAATGAGGAAGATTCCGACAGGGACTGCCATGGCTAGCTCCAGTGTGTGCCAGTCTCGGATGAAGTAGGCAACTCCGGACAGGATCGTCATACCGATGGCGAAGAATACCTGAACCATCACTCCAGTCCATACCCGCTTGGAGGGACCTACTATCTCCATAGCTGGTGGTAAAGTGAAACAATTCTCAGTAAATGATTTCAAAGTTCAAGGTATCTCAAAAGAATAAAAACGATTTCACAGATCATACACATAAAATGACTGCTGATTATTCTACATTAAATATTATGTCCTTTTAGAATAGCAAAAGGCAGATTAAGTCTCCATCTCGTGTGCATTGGGGCAACATTTTAATCTCACCAACTGCCTGTATCCTAAAACTGTCTTATGTTCAATAAATCATATCGGAGGATCTCGCAGTAGTCTGTCATACAGACCCTGAATCAAATATATCCAATACAGCCCATGCAAGTCTATAATATGTGGTAAGTCTAGATTACTGCAGTCTCAGGAAGAAAGTCCACGGGAGCCTTTTTTATATTTAATAACTATGATTCAACAAGTGTTTTTTCGGTAAAGTATGTTCATTTCAGAGAGTACATGTTAGTGTAATCTCGCTGGGGTATTTTATTATCTTTTTGAGAAGGTATAATATCAGGGACATATTGAAGGTATTGGTCAGAAATCCTTGTAGAAAATCACTAAATTCTAACCTTAAAAAAAACTATAATGAGTGACATGTGCGACTATTGGATGTACGGGAGTTACAAGCTGATCAAAAATGGGCTTCACACCAAGAAACCAAAATGTGAGGGATGCACAAGAGCGTTCAGCGCGTAAAATCCCCCACACCCCGCTAGTGGCACATAAAGAATTTATCAATACGAGGTAACAGGTTACATATTGTTGGTTACGTATTTGTATGTGACAATTACATCTATCTTGTCACCATCAGGCCTTGCGAACAGGTGAGTGAGTACGTGAGTATAGTTTTACGCCGCTTTCAGCAATATTCCAGCAATATCACGGAGGGGGACACCAGAAAATGGGCTATAACCACTAGGCTACCCCACCGCCGTTGAATTGCGAACGATGATCCATTATAACGTGACATATAAGTGACGTCACATCAAACATCATGACGTCATGTTTCCCGTACAGGCAAACCAGTCGACTTGTATTGGATTTTCTAGAGCCCCCCTCTCCCCCTCCCCTTCCACACACTTACTTGCTCACAAGCGACCTCAGTTACTGTGTCTATACTGGGCCTCTCGCGTACAATACATTTGAATTACTACTTTTCTTTCGCGCATGGTAAACACTTATTGCCCTTCGTACATATACGTAATATACCTCTCGAAATTTCATACAGAAAACACTGTCAAATTACAATTTTGAAGTAATGGTACTAAAATGCGCTATTTCCAGTCCAACCCACATGGTAGCATAATCTATTGACCTCGACCTTGGCATTGAGACAGCTTGTCATTGTTCTTGCAGTTGGTGAATGTCTAACACATGTTCTACGTTAGTTGACCGGTATTCCAAAGCTAAAACCGTTAGCAGCATTCTGTGCCAACGCCAAGACATTGCTGTATAACCTGATTCTTTCACATAGGAGCTATTGCTGTTTTTCTTGTACATTCACGTAGTTCTAACAAGAGCGGATACAACGTTTTGGAAAGTGGCGTGGGGGTGCGACTTGCACTTAAAATACACATACATCCTGTGATACAAGACAGTACATATAAACTGTGAACATACAACTCGTGATGCAAGATACATTTTTGCATAACCCTGTGATTCTACATGTCCGCATATACCCTGTGATTCTACATGTCACATACACCCCGCCAGTCTACATGGCACATACACCCTTCGACTCCAATGTCCATAAACATGTAGAATCACAGGGTGTATGTGACATGTAGAATCACAAGGTGTATGTGACATGTAGAATCACAGGGTGTATGTGACATGTATACTGGCAGGGTGTATGTGACATGTAGAATCACAGGGTGTATGTGACATGTAGAATCACAAGGTGTATGTGACATGTAGAATCACAGGGTGTATGTGACATGTAGAATCACAAGGTGTATGTGACATGTAGAATCACAAGGTGTATGTGACATGTAGAATCACAAGGTGTATGTGACATGTAGAATCACAAGGTGTATGTGACGTGTAGAATCACAGGGTGTATGTGACATGTACAATCACAGGGTGTGTGTGACATGTAGAATCACAGGGTGTATGGGGACATGTACAATCACAGGTTGTTTGTGACATGTGGAATCACAGGGTGTATGTGACATGTAGAGTCACAGGGTGTATGTGACATGTAGAGTCACAGGGTGTATGTGACATGTAGAATCACATGGTGTATGGGGACATGTAGAGTCACAGGGTGTATGTGACATGTAGAATCACAGGGTGTTTGTGACATGTAGAATCACAGGGTGTATGTGACACGTAGAATCACAGAGTGTATGTGGACATGTAGAATCACAGGGTGTATGTGACATGTAGAATCACAGGGTGTATGTGACATGTAGAGTCACAGGGTGTATGGGGACATGTAGAGTTACAGGGTGTATGTGACATGTAGAATCACAGGGTGTATGTGACATGTAGAATCACAGGGTGTATGTGACATGTAGAATCACAGGGTGTATGTGACATGTAGAATCACAGGATGTATGGGGACATGTAGAATCACAGGGTGTATGTGACATGTAGAATCACAGGATGTATGTGACATGTAGAATCACAGGGTGTATGTGACATGTAGAATCACAGGGTGTATGGGGACATGTAGAATCACAGGGTGTATGGGGACATGTAGAATCACAGGGTGTATGTGACATGTAGAATCACAGGGTGTATGGGGACATGTAGAGTCACAGGGTGTATGTGACATGTAGAGTCACAGGGTGTATGTGACATGTAGAATCACAGGGTGTATGTGACATGTAGAATCACAGGGTGTATGTGACATGTAGAATCACAGGATGTATGTGACATGTAGAATCACAGGATGTATGTGACATGTAGAATCACAGGGTGTATGGGGACATGTAGAATCACAGGATGTATGTGACATGTAGAATCACAGGGTGTATGTGACATGTAGAATCACAGGGTGTATGTGACATGTAGAATCACAGGGTGTATGTGACATGTAGAATCACAGGGTGTATGTGACATGTAGAGTCACAGGGTGTATGTGACATGTAGAATCATAGGGTGTATGTGACATGTAGAACCACAGGGTGTATGTGACATGTAGAATCACAGGGTGTATGTGACATGTAGAATCACAGGATGTATGTGACATGTAGAATCACAGGGTGTATGGGGACATGTAGAATCACAGGGTGTATGGGGACATGTAGAATCACAGGGTGTATGTGACATGTAGAATCACAGGGTGTATGTGACATGTAGAATCACAGGATGTATGTGACATGTAGAGTCACAGGGTGTATGTGACATGTAGAATCACAGGGGGTATGTGACATGTAGAGTCACAGGGTGTATGGGGACATGTAGAATCACAGGGAGTATGGGGACATGTAGAATCACAGGGTGTATGTGACATGTAGAATCACAGGGTGTATGTGACATGTAGAATCACAGGATGTATGGGGACATGTAGAATCACAGGGTGTATGTGACATGTAGAATCACAGGGTGTATGGGGACATGTAGAATCGCAGGGTGTATGGGGACATGTAGAATCACAGGGTGTATGTGACATGTAGAATCACAGGGTGTATGGGGACATGTAGAATCACAGGATGTATGTGACATGTAGAATCACAGGGTGTATGTGACATGTAGAATCACAGGGTGTATGTGACATGTAGAATCACAGGGTGTATGGGGACATGTAGAGTCACAGGGTGTATGTGACATGTAGAATCACAGGATGTATGTGACATGTAGAATCACAGGATGTATGTGACATGTAGAGTCACAGGGTGTATGTGACATGTAGAATCACAGGATGTATGTGGACATGTAGAATCACAGGATGTATGTGACATGTAGAATCACAGGGTGTATGTGACATGTAGAATCACAGGGTGTATGTGACATGTAGAGTCACAGGGTGTATGGGGACATGTAGAATCACAGGATGTATGGGGACATGTAGAATCACAGGATGTATGGGGACATGTAGAATCACAGGATGTATGTGGACATGTAGAATCACAGGGTGTATGTGACATGTAGAATCACAGGGTGTATGTGACATGTAGAATCACAGGGTGTATGTGACATGTAGAGTCACAGGGTGTATGTGACATGTAGAATCACAGGGTGTATGTGACATGTAGAATCACAGGATGTATGTGACATGTAGAATCACAGGGTGTATGTGACATGTAGAATCACAGGATGTATGTGACATGTAGAATCACAGGGTGTATGTGACATGTAGAATCACAGGGTGTATGTGACATGTAGAATCACAGGATGTATGTGACATGTAGAATCACAGGGGGTATGTGACATGTAGAGTCACAGGATGTATGTGGACATGTAGAATCACAGGGTGTATGTGACATGTAGAATCACAGGGGGTATATGACATGTAGAGTCACAGGGTGTATGTGACATGTAGAATCACAGGGGGTATGTGACATGTAGAGTCACAGGGTGTATGGGGACATGTAGAATCACAGGGTGTATGTGACATGTAGAGTCACAGGGTGTATGTGACATGTAGAATCACAGGGGGTATGTGACATGTAGAATCACAGGGTGTATGTGGACATGTAGAGTCACAGGGTGTATGGGGACATGTAGAATCACAGGGTGTATGTGACATGTAGAATCACAGGGTGTATGTGGCATGTAGAATCACAGGGTGTATGTGACATGTAGAATCACAGGATGTATGTGGACATGTAGAATCACAGGGTGTATGTGACATGTAGAGTCACAGGGTGTATGTGACATGTAGAATCACAGGGTGTATGTGACATGTAGAATCACAGGATGTATGTGACATGTAGAATCACAGGGTGTATGTGACATGTAGAATCACAGGATGTATGTGACATGTAGAATCACAGGGTGTATGTGACATGTAGAATCACAGGGTGTATGTGACATGTAGAATCACAGGGTGTATGGGGAGATGTAGAATCAC